TGAAACAACTTCATCAAAAAAGTATTATATGAAACAATTTCACAAGATTAAACAATTTCATGAAAAAATTTCATAAGATTAAACAATGAAATCGACAGATGAAGGTGGTTTGCATGGTTTACACAAATGAGGGCGGTTTTCATTTGATCACTCCTCTCTCTGTCTGTCTCTCTCTCTCTCTCTCTCTCTCTCTCTATATATATATATATATATATAGAGAGAGAGAGAGAGAGATATGAGTTTTTATGCAACCATTTACATTTGTACAATCAATACAACTCAATCTCAACCGTCCATTTAAATTGATCAATATGTGATTTCATAAAAGTTTAGATTGTTTCCTATATAAAGTATTGAATATAATTAATGAACCATAGTCATTTTCTATAAATCTTCAAATCATAATAAATGAGCTCTCATCATATTTATAAACAATTCAATTGATTGAGTTGCATTGGTTGTACAAATGTAATGGTATGCATCTGAAAAATTCAAAACTTTTATGAAATCAGTACTTTATGTTAGGAAACAATCAAAACTTATATGAAATCACATATTCATCAAATTAAATGAACGGTTGAGATTAAGTTATATTGGTTGTACAAATGTAAAATGTTGCATAATAACTTACATCTCTCTTTCTACAATGTTAATGATGAAATCAAAAATACTTTTTTTATACGAATTAAATATTATCGTTTTAAATTTATATTTGAAAAGCAAAATATTAAACAAGACGTGTTTGTAATTAAATCTTAATATTATGAGACCAATGAAAAAGAAAGGTAACCAAAGATATTGATGGGATAGGTTCAGTTTAGTATAAAAGGTGCGAACCAGTGGCAACGGCAGACCACCCTTCTCATTTTACAGCAACAACAATGGCTTCCCTTGGTAGTAGCAAGCAGCTTCATGTAGCCATGTTCCCATGGCTTGCTTTCGGCCACATTATTCCTTTCCTTCAACTCTCCAAATTTATAGCCCAAAAGGGTCACCGAGTCTCTTTTCTTTCCACTACTCGAAACATCCAACGTCTCCCACCTTCCCATCATCTCTCCCCGCTTATCACTTTGGTTCCACTCACACTTCCACCAGTTCATCACCTACCTCAGAATGCAGAGGCCACCATGGACGTCTGCACCGATGATGTTCAATACCTCAAGAAGGCCTTCGACGGACTTCAACACCAGCTCACTCAGTTTCTCCAGCAAAATTCTCCAGATTGGATTATCTACGATTTTGCTCCCTATTGGTTGCCACCGGTCGCTGCTGGCCTTGGTATCTCGCGAGCATTTTTTTCGATTTACAACCCATGGCTCCTCGCTTTTGGGGGACGGTGGTTTGAGGAGCTGATAAAGGGTTCCCGTGATCGCAAAAAGATGGAGGATTTTGTGGCGCCACCCAAGTTGCTTCCTTTACCTACTAATATATGCTTCCGGAAGCATGAGGTGAAGTGGATGCTGGATAGCAGCAGCTCTCTTAATGCTTCTGGGGTTTCAGATATGTACCGTTCGGGGATGATTCTTCAGGGGTCTGACTGTATGTTTATAAGATGTTGCTATGAATTTGAACCCCAATGGTTAACCCTTTCAGAGGAGTCGCTCCATCTCCCCGTGATTCCCTTAGGATTAATGCCACCGGCAACAACCACCAACGTCGGAGATGAGAAAGATGATGCATGGGTGACCATCAAGAACTGGCTGGATGGTCAACAAAAAGGTCAAGTGGTGTACGTGGCATTAGGGAGTGAGGTTATGCTGACCAAAACCGAGGTGCGTGAGTTAGCACTTGGTCTGGAGCTGTCAGGGTTGCCATTCTTTTGGGCTCTTAGACAACCAGCAGGTAATTCCACGTCAGTGGAGTTGCCAGAGGGTTTCGTAGAGCGAACCCGTAACCGTGGGATGGTGTGGAAGAGCTGGGTGCCTCAGTTACGGATACTGAATCATGAGTCGGTGGGTGGTTTCTTGACTCATTGTGGTTGGGGGTCCATTGTGGAAGGGCTAACGTTGGGTCACCCTCTTATTATGCTTCCATTTCTGATGGACCAAGGTCTGAATGCTCGAGCACTGGTTGAGAAACAGGTGGGAATGGAGATCCCAAGAAATGAGGAAGATGGGTCGTTCACCAAAGAATCCGTGGCGAATTCGGTGCGTTTGGTGGTGGTGGAAGATGAAGGGAAGATGTACAAGGCAAAGGCAAGGGAGTTGAGTCGAATATTCGGCGACATGGAGCTACAGAATAAGTATGTAGACGACGTCGTACAGTATATGGAGAAGCATACAGGTGTTGCTTCCAGTGCTATGGATGGTTAAGTTGGCATATTGAATTAGTGGAATATGGAAGTATCTTGTTTTTCATGCCAAATTAAGATTGAAAAATGAAGTCATTTAAGTTATGGTTTGTTTAAGTAGATGCCTAATGATGATTCCGTGTAAAATATTAAACGTTTAAACACACAGAAAATTATGTATAAATTAGTGTTAAATGAAAATTGATTGTTTGATAATTGTTTTGAATGGATTGTCCAACGAGGAAAATTACAGTTTTAACCTTAAGTTACCCTAAAATATACTTGGCGAATCTTAGTTACATAAAATATAATTAATTGCTACCAATAAACACAGCATTACATGTTCAATGCAAAGCTAAACAAATATACCTTTGATCAATCATAATTGAAGATCAACACTAATAAGATGTATTGAGATACAACGGATCAATTTCCGTATCAAATGCAATTCATGGGGTGAGGTTGAAACTAAAAGCGATTCAGGTCCAAATCCTTTTTTTTACGCGATCCATCGTCTACGCATACTATGAATATATATATATATATATATATATATATCCTTAATTACAGGCATAAAATCTACGCATATTTTATCCGTGTATAGTAGCGTAGTTTATATAAGTTAATCCTTTGTAAATTAGGGTTCGGGTCCATAATCACAAAGTACTCCATTAAAAATTAACATCTTAAAATTATATTTAATCTAAATTGAAGATTATAATATTAATTATATTACAAAAAGTACATTTAATATATTAGGATCATTTACTTTGTTGAAGTTCTCTAAATCTGGAGAATCTTATTACCGTCATTTTATTTTTTCTATTTTAAAGAATTTGTTGGAAAAAACCCCAAATCTTTATTATGGAGAATCTGTTAAAGATACTCTAGTCTAATTTAGTTCGGCCATTCATACTTGTCAATAGTGTAACAACCCAACACTCAAATAACCAAATATCATAAACAAAGGCCAAACCGGCACCAAAAGTAAATGAGTAATGTTTGTCAATACATCCCAAATAATTGTAGCGGAAACGTAAATCCACGGTTGAGAATTATTACAGGCTAAGGAAAAAAGAAACTAAATTGACTTGCCAGACTCTGGAAGGATCACATCTTGCCTTTCCCCTTTAAGCTGCCTCAATCTGATACTTCCTTGAAAATAGTTTTTATTTATAAAATAGTGAGGATTAGACCATAAAATCTAGTGAATTCACTACAATTTTTATTTCAAATTCGATAAACGTATATAACATATATAAAGCCAACAAGTGAAAATATCATACTCAAATAAATATTAGATCACATTCCCATCACACAGATATTGCACAACATTTGTAGCCCAATCCCCGTCACAACCCTCATGACAATTACATTTCAGGCCCCAATAGACGTCTTCAAATGTGCTTGAGAAACAAATTCATGACAGACAGATTATCATTCCTAAAAGATATCACTATCTCAAAGTACGCTACGTTTGATGTACAATTCTACACCCCCACATAATCACATATAGCTCAATTTCATTAACCGTATGTACCCTAAGACTATATGCACGCACCGATCTATGGATAATCATTGTATGTATATAATTTGTTTATAGCTCGCCTAGACTTATATAGATGGGTGTGAATAATCAATGTGCATTCCATTTGCTTTATATAATCATTTTATGTACGTAAATATTCTGTTAATTTATGTTTTGATTTAAAATTTTTAATTTAGATTTTAGTATTTTTTTTATTTTTTTTATTAATGAAGAAGATTAGTAAAATGATTATTTTGAACAACTTGAAAAAAAATATTACCAAAAAAGTAAAATTATTCAAAAATATCCGATATTTTTTCAAACTTCAAATAAAATTTAATAGATATAGGACTTGTCCACGCTTGACTCTTCGGCGTTCAAGATTCTTCACGTAATTAGATTTTAATATAGTTTTATATGAATCAAAATTGTACATATATAAAGTGAAGAAATTGAAATATATGATTTAAGGACGCACATATAGAATAATATGTTTAAAAAAATAAAATGACCGAGGCTTAGTGGCATCTGTTTCCGGGGTACAATGATCGGAGCAGGAGCACTGTCGGACTGAAACGATTGGTTGAGAAAAAACCGAGAGTTGGCACCTGAAAGTTGTTTGATAATGTTGCATGGGAACTGTGTGGAATGAACATCACATACATGTTTATATAATAGATGTTGTGTGAGAAGGTATCCTCATTGCAAAAAAAAAAATACGTCAATAGACACGAGTGCAGTGATTAGGAGTCCGAAATTTACACCCCTTTTGTGTGCATACGAGTGAGTCTTTCCTTCAATATTTCTCAACATCTTTATTTGCAAAATCATAAATAAACCAGTTTCAATTTCAAGATCCCTATAAGAACTGTGACAACAGCTTCCACAACATCATACACAAGACGATTTGAATGACTAATTTGAGATTCAATTTTTCATCCATACGAGGTCTAATTTAGACAAACTTTACCTTGTTGCAAAACCCTCATGGAGGAAAATAAGATCCAATAAAATATTACACAAAATAGCACATGTTGTTGATTTAATATTTAAATTCTAAATAGCTCCAAAGACACTTTTTTAACTCATGTTCTAATTTAAACCCTTGGGACTATTTTGTTTGAGTTTACTTTTATACCAAAAAAAATCCCTTTTAATTGTTTATTACACATTTTTATTTGTTTATTCAGCCAATAACTCATGTATCGTTTTTATTTTATATTAATTATTTAAAACATCTATTTTTCAGTTAATGTTGACTCCTTTACGATTTTACACCACCAAATTTAATCATCTACTCTGATGTTTGACAAAAAAAACATAAAAGTTTTTTTTTATTCATTTAGCTTAAATTTAGGTTAATGCATAAATAAATATTATATCGGGTTCAGATACCCACAAATACCTAAAATTTCAAAACCGAAATCAATCCACAAATACTAGGTGGGTTTTGGTTTCGGTTTTTTTGATTTTTGAATTTTTCGATTATCGATTCAAATAGTTGGACTCGGTTTTTCGGTTTTCCTTTTTTTTAAACACCGCTAATATTTTTATCAACCTCATCTAATATTGTATTATTAATAATGGTGATGGAAATAATAATTATAATTCATTGATGTCAAATATTGATTTTAAATAAAAAAGTATGCCACGAATATAAATATGTTTTAGTGGGTATTACTTTATGCACCAGCTACTTGTTATTTGTATCCTTCTCTTTAACCTATTAATTATTATTCTAACGTATCAAAATTGACATATGACCCGTCACATATAATTTCTTATATTAAATCAAATTTTAATACTCAATAATATTCATGGAAATAATTAATTACAAATCAAGTCATGTATATAAATCGTGGATTTTACTGTTTAATTTAATAAAATTATTCATTAAATTGTTTAATTTGATTAAATTATTTCATATAATTTATTTTTTTTATAAAATTGTTTCATATATTTGTGTTTCTATGTAAAAATATAATTGTATCATATATCTCTTTTGATGAAATTTATTTTCAAAAATTAATATAGTTAAGATGATGATGTCCATAATTAATGCTCTCCATAATAAAAGAAGACTAATCAACCTTCATGATTAAAAAAATTGCAAAAAAGAAAAAGAAAATTTATGATTGGTTGAATAAGTTTTGTTTGGTTCGCACAAATGACTTGGTTTGTATCTGATATATATAGACACCTTAGATTAGAGTTGTATCAGTTGTACAAATAAAATTAGTTGTATCTGAAACATGCTCTTTCTCTGTATGTATCACAAGAATAATAATAATTTCTAAATTTACTAATAAAGAAAAATCTACAATACGGATTCGATTCCGATGTTTTTAGTGAAAACTACATTTTACTTTATTTATTATGGATTGGTTTAGTTTAGTAGTATCCATTTTTTATGGCCGTATAGTGATTTATTCCTTCAAATATTTGTTAATTCAATTAATTCAGGGTCTAGACCACTTCGATACATCTTCACCCCTAGCGCCACTCCTATTAATCTAGATTTGTTTCTTCGTTCAACCCCAGTACCACTCCGGTGCATCTTCGTTTTGCAAAGAAAACCCAAATGGACTACTCAGATGCATCTTCGATGGTTAATTGCCAAGTACAGTCTGATGGGTTTTGTTTTGCGGATATTTTGGGTAGTAGAAAACAAACTATTTCTCATTTTGGAGTTTTTAGATGATTATTAAGTGTTGCAGATTATAAATCCATGTGTTCCTTTGCAGCTTGATTTGCAGTATATTTTATGGTTCACTTTATCTTCTTGGACTTACATTTTCGTGAAGACTCATTGTACATTTTTTTAGTATATTATCATAATTTATTAAAAACTATTTCGTTTATTAAAAATATTCGATTATAAGTTTTACAATTAAAACTATAGTCTTAACAATTATTCTTAATTATATTATTAACTACAATATACTCGATAGTTTAATAGGTATTAAATTGGTTAAATTATATTTGTTATACTTTAATTGGTCATTTGAGAAGTGGTAACTATTTAAAAGGTAGAAAAATGATCCTAGCCTTTCATCTGATCAAGATGTGTGGCTTTGACTGTGAGGTATTGGATAATTCATCACATAGTATGCGGAAGATAGATGAATAGTTTCCCTATTTGTAAAAATTACGAATGAACCCGTGTGATTCATATGAGAACCTGTGTAATTCACATATGAATTATTTAACTTGTACACATATAAACTCATGTAATTCACATATGAATTAATTAACTGATTTACATATGAACCCGTTTTATATATAAAAGCAAGATTCACAAGAAATGATGTTGCATTCTAAGAATTGAGTATTATATATTTTCTTGCATTGAGGTTGAGTTTGTTTATCCCACATTGATGGAGAGATGAAAGATTGACAATTGATGGTAGATATATAAGAGAAGGTTGAGGGGTCTTTGTTTTAACTCACTGGGGTGGATTCTCTTGGCTAATCCTATAAACTTATATCATTGGCACATGTTGGATAACCCTCTAAACTCATGGTTAGTTCACTATGACAACCCTTTATTTGCAAAAAAAGTTACCTATATAAAAAATCAATATATTAATATAAAAGAAAACTATAAAATAATAAGGTAGCATCATTAAAACCAAATATTTTTAAATTCTTACATTATGGTTAGATTTTGGGTATTCACATCAATTAGAGATTGATATGTAATTATTTTTTATAAAACTCAATCAATAGTATCAATATCCATCATAATAATCTTCTTTTTGATATATAAAAAATATTAATGTGGCGCCCTAAAAATTAAGTATTCTTCATTCTTGAATTGTGATTCAATTTTGCACATTGACAGATAGATGAAATATTGACAATGAATGGTGGACATATAACAAGATGTTGAGATGCTTTGTGGCAAGTCATGAGACTGGCTTCTCTTGATTGATTGTCTAAACTCACGTTATTGGATCATTTTGACCGAGCTTCCGAACATATGGGGTTGGCTTATTTTGGCCAACCTTTTTTGCGAAAAAATTAATTGAAGATAAAAAAAATTTATATGTTTTTTAAAGTAAGAAGCACAGCCGTTGATCGCACCCTAAGAATTGAATATTCTTTAATTTTGAGTCGTGATTGAGTTTTGTATATCTCACATTGATTGAGAGTTGAAAGATTGACAAATATGGTAGATATGAAAAATGAGGCCAAGATACCTTTGTGACAACTCATGAGGTTGGTTCATCTTGGTTGATTCTCTAAACATCTAGAGTTAGATCATTTTGGCCAACCCTCCAAACATGTGGGATTGGTTCATTTTGGTCAACTCTCTTTTTCCAAGAAGGGTTAATCGATATTAAAAATTAATTATATATATACTCTTTATTCGTTATATATTTAGAAGTAAAGACCACAACCATCAATCCCACATTGATAGGTACATAAAAAATTGACAAATAATTGTTGATATATAAAGAAAAATTGAGACGTTTCTGTGTCATTTCATAGGGTTGACTTCACCGTTAAAACCCAGTACGATCCTTTAAAGCTCAATACGATCCATTAAAAAGAAGTTTGAAAAATAAACAAAAAGTTGAAAACCGCCGGAATATTTTAAAATTAAATTTTAATTTTTAGTTACTTTCCAACGGATTTTCGGCAGACCTTAATTTTAAAAAATTAATTAAATATCCACCGAAAATCCGCCAGTAAAATAGTTAATTTAGAGTTACAACTATTCAAAAATAATTAATTACAAAATCCATCTGAAATAATTGAGTTTTTTTTTTAAATATTGAATAATTATTATCGCCGGACCCCCGAAAACCGCCGGAATGTTTTAAAATTAAATTTTAATTTTTAATTACTTTCCGGCGGATTTCCGGTAGACTTTAATTTTAAAAAAATTAATTAAATATCCGTCGGTAAAATAGCGTAATTAGAGTTACAACTATTATAAAATAACTAATTATAAAATCCGTCGAAAATATGTATGGAATATTATCATAATCGAATTACCGATGAAAATTCGACGACTTACCAACGAAAGTCAATGAAAGCTGACTTTTTTGTTGTACGATAATCCACCGGTTATGTTCTGGCGAATTTGAGATTGGACGTTCTCAAATAAATAATGATTAAACACCTAATATTAGTATATAATATTTAATAAATAAAATATTTAACATTAATACAATATTCGATATGTATGTGGTATGTATGGTGTTATGATTGTTGAATGAGTGAGATTCCAGGGTAGCAAATTGAATGGAGACATGAAAGCAGTGATCGTAGTAAATTGGAATAACTATCTCATAGCACCTCTTTTTTTTTTTTTATACTTTTTTTTAGTATCTTATTTAATTATAAATAAATACTATTACAAATATTATTTTTTATTCTATAAAAAATTAATACTAAAAAATATTATTTTATCGTAATTTCAATAAAAAAATATTATATAATTACGAGATCACCAGGCCATTCTGGTTTACAGTAACAGCCATGGCTACCACCGACTCTAATGGCAATAGCAAGCAGCTTCATGTAGTCATGTTTCCATGGCTTGCTTTTGGTCACATCATCCCTTTTCTAGAACTTTCCAAATTCATAGCAGAAAAGGGTCACAGAGTCTCTTTTCTTTCCACAACTCGAAACATTCAACGTCTCCCACCTTCCCATCATCTCTCCCAACTTATAACTTTGGTTCCACTCACACTTCCACCTGCTCACCACCTCCCTCAGAATGCAGAGGCCACCATGGACGTCCGCACCCATGATATTCCACACCTCAAGAAGGCCTTCGATGGTCTTCAACACCAACTCACTACATTTCTCGAGGTAGAGTCCCCAGACTGGATTATTTATGATTTCGCTCCATACTGGTTACCGTCCATCGCCGCTGGTCTTGGCATCTCGCGAGCCTTCTTCTCAATAATCAACCCTTGGTTCCTCGCTTTTCTAGGGCGATCGCCAGAGGAGTTGATAAATGGTTCTGATGATCGCAAGACGGTGGAGGATTTCATGGCGCCACCCAAGTGGGTTCCCTTCCCTACCAAAATATGCTACCAGAAGCATGAGGCCAACTGGATACTGGATGGCAGCAGTTCTCTTAATGCTTCTGGGGTTTCAGATACGTATCGTTCCGGGATGATCTTTCAGGCGTCTGATTGTATGTTTATAAGATATTGCTATGAATTTGAACCTCAATGGTTAACCCTTTTTGAGGATCTGCACCACCTCCCGGTGATTCCCGTGGGGTTAATGCCACCGGCAACAGCCACCAACGTCGGAGATGAGAAAGATGACGCATGGCTAACCATCAAGAACTGGCTGGATGGTCAACAAAAAGGTCAAGTGGTGTATGTGGCGTTAGGAAGTGAGGTTATGCTGACGAAAACCGAACTGGGTGAGTTAGCGCTGGGTCTGGAGCTTTCGGGGTTGCCATTTTTCTGGGCTCTGAGAAAGCCAGCAGGTTCGACGGAGTCGGAGACGGTGGAGTTGCCAGAAGGGTTCATAGAACGAACCCGTGACCGTGGGATGGTGTGGAAGAAGTGGGTGCCTCAGTTAGAGATACTGAGTCATGTGTCGGTGGGTGGTTTCCTGACACACTGTGGATGGGGTTCCATTGTGGAAGGGCTAGCGTTGGGTCACCCTCTGATAATGCTTCCATTTTTGGTGGACCAAGGTCTGAATGCACGAGCACTGGTGGAGAAACAGGTAGGAATGGAGGTCGAAAGAAACGAGGAAGATGGGTCGTTCAGCAAGGAATCAGTGGCGAAATCGGTGCGTTTGGTGGTGGTGGAAGATAAAGGGAAGATGTACAAGGAAAAGTCAATGGAGCTGAGTCGAATATTCGGCAACACGAAGCTACAGAAAAAGTATACGGACGACTTCGTGGAGTATTTGGAGAAGCATAGGAGTAGTAGTGTTCCACATCAAGTTGTTGGCACAATGGAATGAATTTGAAATCATATATTGTTTTTCTTTAGAGTCTTTCAAATTTCAGTCGGTCTACTGTGTGTGTGTATGTGAAGTTAACGTTAAGTTTTATCAATAAGGGGCTCTTTATCTAAATGTTTATCCGGTAAGTGTTTATCGTTAGGAGTCAACACTATAATTTATTTTACTGGTTAAGATTGTAGTACATCAAAACGTATATCATGCAACAATTTATCTAGTAAACGCTTGCCCGGGTAAGACTCTCCATCCTTATTATCGTTGTTACCAGGTAAGATTATTGGCCTTTGTCATGTTCATGCAGTGAGAAAAATTACCTGGTAAGCGTTTAGTAAACGGCCCCTAAATTTTTTGTATTGTTTAGAATGACTCCAAAATGGACCAAGTGTTTATGCGTAAGCCTGAAGAATATACAGTTGATTGAATCATGTAATTCATCTACTTCTTTTAAAATTAACCAACTATTTGCCTAAATTTGAATAATATGTGTTCTATTCTATCCCATATATAAAAAATGATATATATTGGGGTTAAATGATCATGTGAAGGCTAAAAAAGTTTGAGGATCTTGGAGACTAATCTAATCCATAGATTAGTTTAAATCAATGGTCATTAAAGAAATAAGCATGTTTGTAATAAGACGATGATATAAGGGTATTTTTGTTAAAGTGAAAGTAGATTGAAAGAGTATTATGGGCTAGACTCACTCATCACCAAGTTGATTAGAATGCAGATCTGGATGGAATGGATGTCATACCCACTGGCCACCTGTCACTGGAGGTACATGGTGTTTGATTCACTCTATGGAACACATATAATTTTTGTTTGATTTCATTAAGTGAAATAATATATAGACAAAAATTATGTTTGATTTCATAAGATAAAATAACATATAGATGGAAATTGTGTTCGATTTCATGAGATGAGATAGATTATAAATGAAAATTATGTTTAATTTGAGGTGGTGAAATAATATATATACATACATATATATATATAGAGACTTGGGATCATGTGAAACCAATGGTTTTTCGTGAGACCCGTAAGACCAATTCTCAACCCTTGGATTAGATTTACAATCGTCAGATCTGAACATTCATAAACGCCACAAAACTTCTCAATAATTACAAAATTGCCACATTGCAACTTTAGACCGTTAGATCATAAGTTTATAATGTTGATCAATGAACATAAATTGGTCTTACGGGTCTCACGAAAATCCCATGGTCTCACGTGAACCCAACCCTATATATATACATATATATATATATATATATATATATATATGAAAAACTGTCATTATCAACCTTATAAATATAAGAATTTATATTGTGATTCAATTGGTGAGTATGTGTTTCATTTGGTTAATCTTTGTTATCAAAATGATGATTATTCTCTTTCCTAATTAAAATCAAGCTTTAAATTAAAATCATGGGATCAAACTAAATTAAGGCTTAGATCAGTTCTCATGGTTCTCAAAATCTTTGTGGTTACATAATTACATTTGATTACCGTCCTATATATATAGACTCGGGATCATGTGAGATCAACCTATTTCGTGAAACCCGTGAGACCACCTTTTTACACTTGAAACTTCACAGCAAAATATTATGAAAGTAACTTTTACAGTTGTTTTTTTTTTTATTAACCTGGATATCTAACCCGCTATGCGAGCCGACTAATCCCAGGACAATCACCTGCTTTGCAGATAGCTCGGAGTCACCGCATTTGAACCTCCGTGACCACAAGGGGATTTTTATTCCTCCTTGGATTTGAACCTAGGACCTCCTGGTACTTTTGACCTTTGGAGTCAAGCTCAAACCAATCAGGCACCACCTTTGTGGTTCTTCACAGTGTTTTTGTTGTGAAGGTTCAGATTTTTTACATTCATAATATTTTGCTGTAAAGTTTCAAGTGTAAAAATGTGGTCTCACAGGTCTTACAATAGGCTGGTTTCACATGAACTCAACCATGTGTGTGTGTGTGCGCATGCGCGTGCGTTCGTGTGTGTATAGTTATATTGAGAAAAGATAAATATTTGAGAAATAAAGAAGTGATCATAGTCTCTTCATACGGTCAAGATCAGATTTGACTAATTAATAGTTGTGGTTTTGACTAATCAATAATTGCGGCTTTGACTAGTCAAAAATCGCGGCTATGCAAAAAATAAAAGGGTAGTTTCGTAACTTTTACAAATAGACGACAACCGAGTTCATATATGAACCTATGTGATTCACCTAAGAACTATATGTTCATATGTGAACTTGTGTAATTCACATATAAACTATTTTAATTGATTTACATATGAACCCTTGTGATTCACATATAAACTAATTACCTTATCACATATGAACTCGTGTGATTCATATCTGAACCAATTAACGAGTTCATATATGAACACGTAGTTTATATGTGAATCACATTTGAACATATTTGTCGTCTATTTGTAAAAGTTATTAAACTACCCCTCCATCTTACATATACCATGCGAGGAATTATATGGTGATTTACGGTCAAAGTCGCAAATGTTGAGCAGATGAAGGGTAAGATCACTTTATTTACTTCTCAAATGAAACTTTTCTTATATATATATATATATATATATATATAGGGGGAAGATCAAATGTTAACCAACAATTTTGTGTTAACTTTGAAAACCATGGCAACCAATCAAATTTCATTCTTCTTATAGGTTTATGTCATGTTCACATTTTAATTACAAGGGTATTTCAGTAAATTGATTTGATATGTAACT